TGTCTGTGGGGGTTGTGGGTGTGTTCAGAGATATGGTGAGGTGTGTGTGGGAGGTTGTGGGTGTACGTATGGGTATGGTGGGGTGGGAGTGTGTGCAGGGGGGCTGTGGGAGGGTGTGTGTGTGTGTGTGTGGTGGGGTTATGGTGGAGGATGGGGTGGGCAAGGGCACGGTGTGTGGGGGAAGTCCTCGGAGTCCCTGGAGTATGCACGTCTCTGGAGCTGCATGTGGTGGCAGTGAGTGGGTCCAGCCCTGCCTGGCCTACAAGGCGCAGCTCCTTGAGCTCTTCCACGGTGCCCAGCCACAGGTGGTAGCAGCCTGTGGGGCCAGCCCCACCTAGCCCAATAATGCTCCCACCCGAGTTCCCGGCCGCATGTGGTGGCAGTGAGCCAGGCCAGCTCCACCCAGCCCCATAGCACACAGCTCCTGCATTCCCATTCCACTCCCTGGCCACAGGTGGCAGGAGCATGCATGGCCAGCCCCACCCAGCCCCATAGCATGCAGCTCCCATGTTCCCACCCCAGTCTCTAGCCGGAGGTGGTGGCAGCATGCAGGGCCAGCCCCACCCAGCCCCATAGCTTGTGGCTCCCTCCACTCCTGCCCTCTTTCCCCCATCAGGAGGCCCTAGCCCTGGCCCTGGCCCTGACCCTGGTCCCAGCCCTGTGGGGCCCTTACCTGTATTCTCAGTCTCACAGGCAGGGAGGTCTGGGAACAGCATCGGAGTGGCCAGGCAAAAGACTTTGCCAGGCAGAGGCTTCTTGTCTCTATCACCCCTTAGCTCGGGGCTGGGGATGGGTCATGCCGGGGCGAGGGTTAGGTTGTGGGGGTTTGCTTAACAACTGGAGCTGCACCTCCTGCATGGAGGCACCCACTTGTAGAGAGGTGCAGTGAGGACCAGGGCTTAGAAAGGACTAATGGAGGGGCCCCGCAGCCCTCATGGAATTGTCTGGTGGGCTGGATTCAGCCCATGGGCCATATTTTGTCTGTTCCTACATTAGGGAAATCAGTGGGGGAATGAATGAATGCTGCCTCTCACAGATCATACGTGTGAAAAAGAAAGCTGTGAAATATCCTTGTTCATAGCAGAGTGTTCCTTTGCAGTGAAACGAAGACCTTTGATATCATCTGAATTATCATCAAAAGGATATCTTTTATATTTCCTTTTTTTAGGGGTGAAATATAAAAGCAAACTTTTTTCCCTACCATATGGGATTAATGTACTCATTCTGAAGGCAATAAGGAAAAAGTGACTATATGAAAAAGTAACTATATTCTACCTCACAAGAGTTTTTACTGAGGGTTTTTTTTTTGTTTCTAAATCAAGTTGTCTCTAAAGAAAGTGATGAACACCATGTATGCGAGACTAGGAGCAGCACTTCTGCCCTGGTTCTCTGAAATTATGGGACATACTATGACAGCAGCCCTGCCTGTTGCCTATCAAGAACATTGGGAATAATGGGCATTGTCTCTTTACAGTGGTGAAAACAGAGGCATTCTTGCAAAATAAGGTTGGTAAAACAGCATGTGTAACTAGATGAGGGAGAGAAATAGTTAGCCATGGTTAGTCTGAAGGCAAGCAAAAGGTAGGAAAGGCTGACACCTTAGCATCTGACAAAGTAGATTGTTGTCTAGGAAAGCTCGTGCCTCTTAATTAGTTAGTCTCTAATGGTATTTATACACATGCTCCAAGAGTTGAGAGGAAGGGGGTAGGAGGTGCACTTTAATTAGAGTGGCTCCCAGAGCTGCTCTAATTAAAGCACCTGGAGCATCATGTGTATCAGTGTCCCTGTGCTGAAAAGTGGAAGTGGGGGCACTTTAACTAAAGCTCATAGAGCAAGCTTTAGTTAAAGTGCCCCTGCTGCCATTTTTCAGCGCAGGGACACTGATGCACATGATGTTGGAGTAATTATCACACTCCAGCAGACTTGGTAATTATCATGTTCCAGTCTGCTCCAACACACTGTAATTACAGCATGTT